CTCTGAGGAAGTCTTTCCCATCATTTTATGAATTTTTACGAAAACCTCGCCGAATACTTCTGCATGAGGGATTTTAACAGCTGAATATACTCTAAGCAAGTTTAAGCATGTACTTAATCTACTCATGAAGCGATCGAGGCTTCGCTAGGGGAGGAGCGTTGCGTGACGAGACTAAAAACGGCTGCGAGGGAGACTAAGGGAGACTAGACCGCCACTGAATTTACTATTTACTTTGACAATGTTCCGATGAAAGGAATAATATGATGTCACAATGGGGAAAGACGCTGAAAATTATCGTTGGCTCAGCCGTTGTAGTTTGCGCATTGGCGGACGAAATTTAGTGAGTTTTAATCAAAATTTTTTTGGACTTTTCTTGCGCGATAGGTCTGAATTGTATTTTTTCTTTTTGTTTAGGATCTAAACTTAAACTTTCGGCATAAGAATTTTGTTATGAAGAACATCAATTTTCGACTCAGTAGCACCTTAAACATTAAAATTAAAAGTTTATATCTTGTCCGCCATTTAAAAATACAGTCGCAGCTGCAGTAAGCGGTCTATCGAGATCCAGTCTCGCTCAGATCTACAGAAGCGAGCAAACCTTGGGGGCAATTAGTTTCCGCTTTACTGCGTCGCCAGGAGATTGCAACGATCGAAGAAAATTTGAGAAATCGTTTGAGAATTTGCTTGGAATGACTCTCTCGCCATTTGTGTTTCTCAGGAGATGCTCCCCTCTTCGACTAGGACGATTCTGTTGCAAGCGATGTTTCAGAATTCGCCAAGGTTTAATCGTAGTAAGTGTGCTTGGGTTAATGTATCTTACGATAAATGCCCCACCAGAAAACTTACACGGCGAGATATTTAAAGAAGACAAGGGTAGTATCGACAATCAAAGCTTTACAGTCAAGGCAGGGTATTTGAATGTCCACACATGGTTTGGGATATGTGGAACAGCAGTTGATAATTTGAGATTATGGCCTCATTTTCCGTATCTACCGGATAAGCGTTCTTCTATTTCGAGATTTCGAAGAACTCAAGACCATGCTTCAAACAACAATGGCGAAAGAATTTTTGGTTTCGTCCACCCGCATAGCGGCGGTGCTTACCAATTTGCCATCACTTCAGACGATGCGTCGGAGTTATGGCTGAGCTGCAATGAAAGTGTTGCGTTTAGTGAAATAATCGCCCGTGTTTACTCTCCTAGTGAGTCTGCTTGGACTGAAGAAGGAGACTACACGAAATATCCTGAACAAATATCTAAAAAGATTACCCTTCAAGCCAATAAGAGATATTACATCGAGACTTTGAGTAAGCAAGGTTCAGGTGCAGCTCATGTGGCTGTATATTGGTCCTTCAATTCTTCAAAGTTCGAAATTATATCTTCAAAGTTTTTGTCGAATTTTTCCGAAAGCAAGAGTCATGAATCTTTTCCTTCGCACGCGGGAAAACAAGAAGACATTTCGATTCAAGAGAAAGGCGATTCATTTTATTTCAATCGTCTCCCATTGTTGGATAGAAAGGTATACATTAGTTATCTTCCAACATGTCCGTACAGTCCAAGCTTTTTGGTGCGAAGAAAACTCGGGACACATGAGGCGGCGTGGAAATGGATGGCAAAGGAATCATATGTTTATCCAAAGGATGATACTGACATGATCAGGAGTATTTCTCCACCATACTGGACCAAACCTAATCCTCTTACTAATGAGAGTACAGTTGAATCAGTCGTCAACAAGTTTGTTACAGTGAGCTCCTTGCAGTCAAGGTATGATTACGTTGCTAATTTCTTCATCAGCCAATCTTTCGAACAATTGCGCTAGATACGTATGATGCACGATCCTCGCGGTAGAGAGCGCTATTTATGCAATAGCGAAAATCAGACCCGAAAACAATCAGGCCTGTACGGGATTCGAACCACTGACCTCTGCGATACTAGTGCAGCGCTCTACCAATTGAGCTAACAAGCCAACTGGAAGCAGGCCGTTAAGTTGATTCGTAATAAACCCGTGATGATAAATCAGATATGATGAATACATGAAGTTCATATATTTTGAACTGCGGTTATAGATACGTATAGATATCCAGTTGGCTTGTTAGCTCAACTGGTAGAGCGCTGCACTAGTATCACAGAGGTCAGTGGTTTGAATCCCGTACAGGCCTGATTTTTTCAGGTCTGATTTTCGCTATTGCATAAATAGCGCTCTCTACTGCGAGAATCGTGCATCATACGTACCTATAACCACAGTTCAAAATATATGAACTTCATGTATTCATTATAAATGGCGCTAGAGTTGATTGTTGCTAACTACTCTCATACGGTGGAAACCTGGACGGCTCGTTACGAAATTCTACGTCTCATTTATGAAAATTCTGCATTTTTATAAGCAGCATTCAGATATTCAATCATGATCCGGCTCAGTGGGCTTTGTTTATAGTTGTTCTCAAATTTTATTGGGTGCTGATATCATGTGGTCAATTTATTGACACTTCTCAAAAATTCGGAAAACAATAGCATCACGCAGGCTCTCAATATTATAAAATGCTGTAACCTTAAGGTTACTTCCCTTCAGAGGCCAGAAAAATCGCTTTTTCTTTTATTGGACTGGGCTTAACCTCAGAATACCGGGCCACTCAGTTACATGTTATTAAATAAGAATAGTGTCTATTTTGCCATGCCCCGTTCTTCAGAGCCTCCCGACACATGAGGTGGACGGGTATTTTGAAGCTGCTCCATTGAGCCTCCGACTTATTTAGGACTAAATTGAAGTTAGACAATCTACCTAACGTTTACAAAAAGAAAAATTTAAAAATCTCAAAAAGCGGTTCTGTCCTCGTGTACCGGTTCACAAGAGCCAATACAAAAGACCAAACAATACACAATAGCTAACCGATAACTCCTAAACAAAGAAAGAACAATGGTAATTCCCTTGTGAACCAGTACACCAGGACAGAACCCAAAAGCATTCGACTTATTTAGGAAAACGTATTTCCAAATAAAAGTCAAGAAGTCAGGAAGGTGACATAAACTCGTGAATGGGCGAACCCCCTAGGGGAATATTCGCATATTTTGTTTACATCGCGACTTGACAAAATTCACACGTGAAAGGCCTGAGGACGAAGGAATAAATGTGTTACAGATGAAGGGTTGTTCAGAGGTTTTCAACGTAGTGCCAGTGGTGCTTTTTAATGTCTTATCTAATTGCAAGTTGTGACCTCAGTCTAAGTGCTCTTATCACGCCTTTGAGGTTACGCTACGATAGATTGCTACGAAGTTGGTGGGCGTTTGGTCAATTTTTCCATGTCTACAATGACAAAATCACAGAAGCTGCCACAACGATTGGACTAGTCTTACATTAAAGGAGATTTTCACGGACTCATTACTTACAGGATTTATCTATTTTCGAGTATTCGGATTAGTAGTACTTTACACTAGCGGGGCATTCGAATCCTCAAGGGTTTACACGCATCAATAAACTCTTTTCAAACCAGATTTTAAGCATGACTGTCGTCCCAAAATAGTTCAGAATGGATCCGAATGTCACAACAACTGTCGACAAGTTCGACATCTCATAAAGTGGAAATTCTTCTAAAGTCAGGGAAAAAGACACCAAATAAAAATTTTGAGTAGCTTTTCCAAGCGCCCAAAAAGGTGGAACACATTTTTTGAGTAGGTGTCTGTAACTAGCGGCAGATTTTCCCGTAAAGTAAGGGAAAAGGCTTTGAGTAAAAGCACAAACAAGAAATTCTAAAAAGAACTCAGCTTCATTAAAAAATAATCGATAGCAGTGTAAGACGTACCGCACTTAAAGTATTCGGATACAAGTTTTAAGTTCTCACTCCAGAATCGTGGCTAAATCCGTTCAAGGATTATAAACATTTTATTACAGATTCGTCTTCAGGTGTGTAAACGGCATTACAAATCCGGTCCTAAAACGTTCCGAATTTCCGGGTAACGAGTCCAGTATGATTTCTTCTGATCTCTTGAGCTCCATCATGTTTGATGACTCAGTCAGGTTGACTTCTCATCTGAAAATTTTTAGTTACTTTTGTCCTCTTGCCGCTAGAGAAGCCGATAAATTCTAGTTGATTTAGGTTTCTAATCTTATCTTTTTCTTTAGTGGGTATTTTTTGAAAAAGATTCACAAAGTCATCCACAAGCCGGATCCCGAGAACGGTGATCGTTTCTTATTGAACCTTGAACTTGGCTCAAACAACACCAATCAAATATTTCGGCTGTCAGAGCACGTTTACCAGCCGAAAGGAAAAGACAACTTGTGCCTTCCTGATGGAATGAACTGGAATAACAGCGCTAAGGTCTACTTCATTCTACCTGTGAAGGATCAAGGAAAATGGGTGCAGCATTTTATTCATCAACTTACTGACGCCAGTCTATTAACCAATGACACGAATTTTCACGTAATGGTGATTGACTTTGAAAGTAAAGACATCGATATGGCCAAGGCTTTCAACACACCTCTACTCAGCAGTAGACATAACATCATTTCACTGACTGGTAAATTCTACAAAACACTTGCCTTAAACAAGGCCGTCCAGTTTGTTCCCAATGCTTATGACATCATTTTCCTTTTCGATCTTCACGTTGATGTTCCAGCAGGCATCATGGACAGCGTGCGAATGGTAAGCACTGATACACAGTCGTTTGGATCTTGTAACTGATCGTTTCATTCCGATCATGCTTGGCGGAATAATATGTGTTGCTGAAGAACAAGTACTTCTTGTGCATTGTCGTAAATCGATTCGTAAAAACAAAGCACCGATAAGAGATCTGTTTGTACAATGTAACTACACAAATGCCTAATTGGGAAATTTGAGTTTGGGTATGTGTTCATAAAGCACCGCTCCCTCGTTTCATAACGCTCCAAAGCCTTTAGTAAGGGTTCCAAAACGGATCAGCTAGCAATATCCAAGCCTGGGTATTCCGTTCTTTACATTAACACATGCTTACCAGTTTTGTCCCATGCAATGCGAACGTCTTCTTCCAAGCCCCGATGGAGAGTTTTGAGCTTGTGAAGTAAGTCTAGTGGGATACCAAATCATGCCTCGGTCTTTATTCCTTTTAGAACACCATCGCAGGCCGGATGGCTTACTTTCCTGCTGTTGGTCGACTAGAGTGCGGCAGTTCTTCTGTAGAACACAGAGGCTTTTGGCAAATGAACGGCTACGGATTTTTGGCCATATACAAGTCAGACTGGGACAAATTTGGTGGTGAGTTTCAGTTTGTTGCATGTGAGAGGTAGATGCATGAAACTGTTTAGTCAATAGACTTCTTTATCTTCTTTTAGCAATTACTCCCTCTTTTCTTGAGATCTGATCAAGGTTCAAAGGCCCTTTTGTGGTGTTAAGAGCAAATCCGCGCAAAAATCAAACATTGCATGGCAAAGTTAAAAAACTTAAATTCGCTGTTCTTTTGCATACAAGTAGCCTTTAGAATGTATACAATTGCTGTGTAGTTTCTTCCTTGAAAAAATTATTTGCTTCCGCAAAAACGAAAACGCTTCGTTTTCAGTCCAGGGATCGATTTGGCGACACCGAACAGGTTTAAAAATGGTCATGATTCACTCGACTCGCGTATCAAAACAACTGCGCTAGAAAAAGCGATTCAAGTTCCAAGTTGTTGTATGACCTATAGTCTAAACACCGTGATTTATAAAGATTAGATTAATTCCAGTATTCAAGAGAAGTCAAAAGCTTATGGCTCTCCCGTGTTGCGTAAAACGGTAGGCGAAAAACGATAAATTTGAGCATGTGCCTAAGTTCAAAATTTCATAACATTACGAATGATAAAACTAGAGTTCATGAGCTTTCGGTAGATGTAAAGGTTAGTTTGGGGAAATGAATTAGGAATTTTTCACATTTTTTTGAAAATCGTGCAGAAAGACATAAAATCACGCCATCCTGTTGTGTACATGTGACCATCAAGACATTGATATAATAAAAATTAACATGGCTCCGATGCATATAGCAAAGTAAATATAATAACCTTAACTCAAATGTTGCCGTTTTGCCCATTCTGCGGTCTCCGAAAGTTTGACATCTGCACCGTCGCATTATGTTGCGGTTCGATCAAAATGGCTGCTCCTAAAAACGTCTAAACTTTGCAATTTGTGTTCCTTGTGTGCTTGATACGACGTGTTGGTGTTCTTTGCGACAAAATTCATTAAAACACTGATTGAGCCAACTATTTAAAGCTTATGTTCAGAGTTTTCTACTGTCGATCCTGTTCATCATTTATCCGCTGTTTGACATACTGTATGCAAATTTGTTTCCCTTGAAATCTATAAACAATTTGCATAGAGGCCTGTACGGGTCCGCAAATGATCCCGGGCCGCAAATGATCCCCAAATTGGACCGCAAATGATCTCCACCCCGAACCGCAAATGATCCCGACCAAAATATAACGAATGGCATGGATGCTGAAATAGTGTGGATAGGGAATTGGCGTGAACAGTGATTATCATGGCTCACAACTGGCATCTTTTCCACACTTTGTGCTGAATTTTTTTTATTCACTCTAACAACTGACAACTGACAAACAAAACTGCTGATTTGAAATGCAGGCCAGAAGTTTTGTTTTCTTTGCAACCAGAATCCCTCTAACAGATTTTCGTTAATGACGCAATATACGCCTCGTAGCTCTCCTCAGCTAAACATTGTTATTTTGGTGTTACAGTATCTTCAAATCAAATCTAATCAGTCCATTAGCGTCATACGACTGATAACAACGGCAGCAACAACAACAAGAACTTAATGATTTAGATAATAAGATTCCGTCTAACATATGCAGCGCTGCTTGCTTTTTCGTTGCCATGCGTGTCTTCAGCTAAATTTTTCTTACTAAAACTCCTCCAGGATGCAACTGTTGCAAAAAAACGCTGTCGTTTGAATAAACCTGTAACGCTCCACCTTCACCGCTCTGAAAGACACCGGGTGAGTAACAATCGAACTGCCTTCCACTTGTGGGGCAAATTTCTTTACTTATTTTCCCCTCGCCGTATTTCTGCTTTATTTCCTGAACAACTGTTAGTTGGGAATTCTGCGATGCTGTTGGTTCCAGGCTATGGTAATGAAGCTCAGCTATGGCCCAGCAAGGCCATATCCTCCCTCTGCGTACAATTTTTAACGAGGATGCTGAACAAAAGACTTTTATTTCCACAGGCAATCGGTGAAATCAACTGCAGAAATTTAATTTTTTTTTTTAACAGCTAATCATACTATGTGTGCATTTTAATTCTCTGTTGTCCTTGTGATTTTTACATGCTCGATTTCAATGAAATCACACGTGCACCGGAAGCATTGATCATACGCAACAGAAATGAAATCCGATTAAGCTTGCTCTCCAACGTTCCACACAATTAACAGAAGATTCGCAGCCCACGATCACAACAAATGTCTTTAGAAAATTATTGTACTTCGCTAAAGGTCTTGAAATGGACAAAGTCTTTGGCCCTTAAAGCGATGTGTGTTACTTGACAGAACGTCACGCAATGTCACAGATTTTCCGCAAAAATCGAAAATAATAAAACGTGTTTTCATATCAATCCATGCCATTCCTTATTTTTTAGCCGGGATCATTTGCGGTTCGGTGTGGGGATCATTTGCGATCCGGGATCATTTGCGGTCTGGGATCATTTGCGGACCCGTACAGATCGGCATCCGCGGCACAGATTTCGTGTGCCACGGAGCAACCGTCGCGCTGTTCGCTCCACGCTGATTGGATGATGGTAAACAATGCCCTGTTTCAAATCTCCTGTGAGAGGGGAGTCAGGGGCATATTCGCGCCGGCGATTCATCTACTGACTAGCCTGGTGCGAGGTTTATAGCGCGTCAGTAGATTGAATGACTTAACGGCGTAATTTCGTTCAGTCTGTTATGTTGAGAGATTTTACGCCGTTAAGCCTTACGCCGTTAACTAAAGGCGTAATTTCGTTCAGTCTGTTGTATATATTGGGAGATTTTATGCCGTTAACTAACGGCGTATTTTCGTTGAGTCTGTTATATATATTGAGAGATTTTACGCCGTTAACTAAAGGCGTATATTTCGTCCAGTCTGTTTTATTTATTGGGAGATTTTACGCGGTTAACTAACGACGTAATTTCGTTCAGTCTGTTATATTTATTGTGAGATTTTACGCCGTTAACTAACGGCGTAATTTCGTTCAATCTTTTCTTTATATTGGGAGATTTTACGTCGTTAACTAACGGCGTAATTTTGTTCAGTCTGTTTAAATTTATTGGGTTATTTTACGCCGTTAACTAACGGCGTAATTTCGTTGAGTCTGTTATATTTATTGGGAGATTTTACGCTGTTCAACGGCGTATTTCCGTTCAGTCTGTTATCAGTATATGTTGAGAGATTTTACGCCGTTAACTCACGGTGTTATTTCTTTTACTAAGTATTTGTGTTATATATATAGTAGTGATTATATTTAGTGTACGATTTTACGCTGTTGACTAACGGTGTTAAATCCTACAATATACAGACCGCGTTTGTGGCGTTAAATCTCACAATTTATTATATAGCTGTCTCACAAGGACTGGGGACTACCGAATTCACGAATTTGATTGGCTGAAATCAATATTGAAAGCGGTCTAGATTTTCCCATCTAGACCGGTCAAGAAAAATAAGGTACAAAGAATATAAAAATTGGCAGATAAGACAGAGCCATATAATAAACATCTTATTAACCGAGCTAGGTCGGTCTGTATGGAATAATCTTGACCTCGGTCGCTGGTACAGACCTCACTGCGTTCAGTCTGTACTGGCGACCTCGGTCAAGATTCTCCCATACAGACCTCCCGCTCGGTTAATAAGAACTAAATACAGACCGAGATAATCGCATAATTCGCCGTTATCTGATACGCCTCGATCTAGAAGCAGCGGAAATCGACACAACTGGTTCGCGAACGTTACTTTCTGTCGGTGGTTTCCTCTTGCGAGGCGACGCGCGAATCCAGAAAGATATCGAAGGTATGGCGCCAGGTTTTAGACATATTTTTCTCGCAAGAGTCTTTCTTAGATCTTCATTTCTAAAATGTCTGGAACAGACCTTTGTTGAGTCGGATATTTTAAAGTCTTTTCCTTCGACTCGCCTGATGGTCTGTATCCATTTCTTCTCCACTTTTTTTTCTTTAGGAAATTGGAAGTAGAACACTTTCGACCCATACTCTTCGCGATAGCCTTTTCTGGTGCATTCTGGAACACAGCAGTGTGTAGGCATTCCTTCCTATTCTGAAACGTGTATTCTAAGCGGTGATTGACCCCAATTGAGCATTATTGTCTTCACACAATAGCAAAAACTTGACCTAAAACCACTAAACCTGCGCTGTGTTTACGTCTGAGAGGCCTTTCTGCTCTCGTTTCCATGCAAAATCGTTACCAGTCCCGAGCGCCTTTGGCCATCATGAAGTCGTGTATCTGCTCTTTATTTTCTCACTACCTGTTCCAATTGATTTTATTCATTGACATCCTTAGGAATGAATACAAAGGACTACCAGTACAGCTGGGGAGGGGAGGACTGGGATTTACTTGACCGCGTGATGATGTTACCTGTGGAAGTGGAACGGATTAGGCATCCAGGCCTTTATCATCATTATCATCCCAAACAGAGAAAGTGGAATTAGTATGGTAACTACTGAAGCACACTTCTAAGCATAAATAACAAGGAAAAAAGAATACAGCAGGAGTCGTGGGAAGCTTATACAGGACCGGGTTTACACTGGAAGCTAAAATAACTTGGACATTTAGTCTGTGTGTTCAATATTCGGTTCGATTTTGTTATATATTAGTCTGAATTTCAGCTGTCTCTCCCCTTTACCCCAAGGGGGCGCTTGGGGTAAAGGGGAGAGACGGCTGAAATTCAGACTAGTTATATATATGAACATCTCCTTAATAACGCAATCGAATTTACCACAATAATGCGCAAGCATGTGGAAAAGAGGTGCTGCAGTCTCTTGCCACTGGTTTCTAGACGGAGTTTACTGTCCGCCTGCGCGCCCCAACGGGTCTCCACGCGCATCATACGTCCTCCATCACACAGGGAACTTAAACATAACACGATTTTGGTTTGACAACCGAGGGTCTTGCTTCTTGCAGCTTGAAATCTCCAATGAGCCCCGATTTGCAAATACAGGACAGATAGCACTGTTTTAATTAATCCTTGATCTGTGAGCTGCAGGATTCATTCGCTTGTAAAGATAGATGGAGCTACTTGTGTGATGGCTGTATACGAATAGAACCATGGCGACTACCCAGAACATTAACGTTGGAGCCGAATATTTAATTCTCTTTGAAGGAAAAAAAGGACGGATATTGAATTCGGCTTCAGGTCTAGCCTTGCTGCGACGATTTACGGACAAATAACTGAGGAAAAATAGCAATTCATTCGTTGATCACGGGATCCAACTCAAGAGTGTATGAGCATTGTCATTGATTTTTTCTTAAACGAACAGGCATCAAGGAAAAGCAATTTTATACAACCAATAAAAAACAATTTAAACAAAATATTCATAGCGAAATTTCTATGCACCGTTTTACAAACTGATTTAAACCTTCACACTAAATTCAACCCATGCCGAAATCGAATAAAGGAAACCAAATCTTCCAGACACTCTGTCTGTTTGCTACGCTCAAAAGGCACTTTAAAAACTCTGTAAAAGTTACAATGTTTTAACCAACGAGCTATACTTAGATGCCATACATCTGTAGCACGCTGGTGAGGAAAATTGGCCGTCAGTCCAACTATTAATACATGTCAAAGTTGCTGTGTGTGATGTGCATTTGCTGAGGTCAACAGAAAGGTGCCTAAACAAAACACGGCCCGTTGAGAGGGGTTGCAATCTTCTCGCAATACTTTTTCAACTTTTTTTTTTTTTACATAAAATAGCTAAACTTAAGCTGTAAACATCTCAGTATTTGCGAGCTGCACAACTAAAAAAAAGGAACGAACATCAAAGTACAATTGTATCGTAGGAACAAGCACACGCTACAGAGTTTTACGTGACGATTTTCCAAACATTTTCCACCAGGTAATGTCTCTGCAGAGTCTACATATCCGCTCGTGTGAGGACTTCAAACGTGAATTTAATACTCTTCCACGAATCGGAGAATGCACACAGTTACGATGATTCCTACAAGCTGAGAATGAAAATGAAAACAAAAACAAAAAAAAAAACCAATACTGTACATCAGCTTCGTAAAAGAAAAATCTACCGTAATTTACATCAAATCTAGAGGCCAACCCTACAGTTGCTTTATGCAGAAATATTCTTGTACTGATCCCTTCTTAATTCATACAAGTACAGTTTGTGAATGGATTAATTACATTGCACTGTCAGCTAATTCTAGATCTAAACTACTCGATCTTTTAAAAAACTATATTCACAGCTACATTGATAGTAAATTGATGACACTGTGAAAATCCAACAGAGTAATACAAAAATAACTCAAGTACATGAATGAAATAATGGTCACGGTATATAAACATGTCAGGTCGGCATCTCACCTGTATTCACGGCAGCCCCGACAAGATGACAAAAGATTTGCTTGATTTGAAAACTAACAGCAGTTGCAGCCAGTTAACTAACCTGAAGACAAGCCACTCCTATTCCAACAATTGCAAGAATGAAGAAATGTTCTCGAAAGAATTCCTCTACTTGTGTCAAACAACCCTAAAAAAAGACATTTGACTTCTGGAAATCCACCATAACAACATATCAACACAACCAAAACTAAAGGAACTGCGGATAATCTCTAATTCAAAGATAAATTTAAAATTTACAACGCATGAAACAGTTTGACTAAATCTAACACATTAAGCAAAAAATCCACTCTTGTCTTCTGAAGGAACGGCAAATTGTGTTGACTGAACCAAGAGGTGTAGAGTTCGTTTTATCGATTGTTGAAAGACTTATTCCTTCTGCCAGAGATCTTTTCCCTTTAACTGAGTGGCAGAAATGAATGTAAGTCTAGTTTCATACTTTGCTAGGGGTAAGAGGGACGAGTGAGTGTTAATCAAATCCTCACTGATGATTTGAGTTCATATCGTTATTCAAAAATCCTCCGCAATAATGTCAAAGCATATGTAAACAGAGCGCCCTTTACAATGTACCTCATTATTGATATTTGATGGATGCATCCTTTTGCCACACCCCTCAGATACAGTTTTACAGCATGAGTCAGGGACAACATTCTCATTTCCATCCCTTTGCTGCCACGATGTACCATTCCAACTCTTTCCACCAGTGTCACCACAACATCGGTTCTGAGGTGAGAAAGGAGTAATCAAGTGTTTAAATAAATAATTTACAATCATTTTCATGTCATGAAAATGAAAAGATTGCACAAAATGTTTATGTAGTACTTGGCATTAATTTTTATTAAGAACCTGACCAACCTCTTGTTGCAGTGTATCAATTGAATTTGTGACAGCATCGTTCACACCATACTGCTGGTTCATTTTATCCTTTATTGACGTTTGTATCTCATCTTTTATCTATAAACAGAATGAACAAATACTAATGTACACATAGATGTATTTCTGACACCTCTCCAGTATGGTCTTGTGACTGTGGCAATCGTAACTTCTCAACACCACAATTACTGATGAAAAAAAAGGCGAGTTATTGACGGTGAACGATGTGGGTTGAAACTTAAAAGTAATAAATAAATACAAAATTACAACAATTGTTTAAGTAAAGGTGATAGGAAAGAAATACGCTGAGCCAACTTGAAACAATAATACTTACATTGTTACGATTACTGCAAAACTGCGTTTGACGAAAAAACACTGTCCGAAGACGAAAGGAAGAATAAAGGAACCCAACGAATATATGAAATTCATATGTCTGAACTGCGGTTATAGAAACGTATTTGTGCACGATCCTCGCAGTAAAGTGCACTATTTAAGCAATAGTGAAAATCAGACCTGAAAAAATTCAGGCCATCATCTTACGGGTTCATGTAGAATTAATTTGATGATCTGCTCCCGGTTGGCTTGTTAGCTCAATTGGCAGAGCGCTGCATTAGTATCGCAGAGGTCAGTGGTTCGAATCCCGTACAGGCCTAAATTTTTTCAGGTCTGATTTTCACTATTGCTTAAATAGTGCTCTTTACTGCGAGGATCGTGCACAAATACGTTTAAATAAAGGAACCACTTGAAAGCGAACTGCGACTAGCGTGACTACCGAAAAAGATGGGCCCTGAACAGAGAAAACTAATTTTATATAATGCACGAAAAACTAAAATTAGTGCATGCGAGAACGACCAACTGAAAGTGCAATTGACGCCAATAATTGCTAAAGAAACAATAATGAACGAAAGTATGCGATGTGGAAAACAAGAGAAGCTAACTAACCGGTGAAAAAACACTAATAGACGACGAGAAACAGCAACGACACTTAAAGGGACACCATAATTAATTATTGACTACATTCCGCACGCTAAGATCTTACAGGTCTGTCTCAAGAGTAGAAGCTGCTTGCAGTAAAGAACAGTCTACACATTGTATCACAACGAAAAAAGGCTGTTGTCAAAAGATGGCTACGTTAACAGCAACAAAAAATAGGTCCGCAATGCGTACGTGTGTGGCCTACGAAATTGAGCTGCTTTTTAATATCTGGTGTCTTATTGGGTTTTAATTAGAAGAGCTAATATCTGATTACAGTCAGATAGTTTTCAATATTGTTCCTGTTCGTTGATAAAACAAGATCACTAGCATGCAATAATCCTGAAATGTTCATTTTCAAGACGAGGGTTAATGGCCAAACTTGCAATTGAGGTCTCATTTTGACAATAAACACCCCAAGGATGCACAAGTAACCTGAGGATTTTAGGAACTAAATGAAACGTCAGCATCATCTCCCATGGTGGCCTGCTAGACTCAGTCACGATTTTGTTTAGGTAACGAAGTGGAATTGAGTTCTGAAGTTTGTAGGTTGGTTGTCTTTTCCAAGGCAAGTGATATGAAATTAACTCTAAGGAAGCATTTCACATGAATATTTTTAGCATCTTGTGTACCAGTAAATGAGGAACGAGTACTAAACTTTCCAGAAGGGCCGGGACTTTCGGGAAATGATGTAATCTACCCTAGAAGCCATTGGGAGCTTGATTTGGTTTGAAGGTATGACTAATTTTGGACGAAACTACATGTAAAGTAACACAATGCTGAGCATAGGTTTCTATTGTCCATTTCGGCACAAAGTTCTATTCTCAGTTGGTTGAGAGCAAATCATTTACTATAATTATTGTATTTGGGTTTTGTGGGACTGTATTTTCCATAAAGAACACAGAAGAATTTAGTTGAGGTAGGTGGATATGGGGTTGTAAATGAAAGAATTTAGGGAAAAAAGATAGGTGCCTAACAGGATCAGAACACAAGCAATATTTTAATGAATCATATGTTAAATAGTACTCTGTAGTAACATTACTTTTTAACATTGTGAATAATTTTTCCTACTAAGAATTACAATTGAGCTAGAGGTTTTATTCAATAGTAAGTTCAATAGAGATAGAGTGTCACCATAATATATTTCAGGAACAATTATCAGAGATATCACTTAAACACAACAGAGTTCAAGGTACAGGCAAGCACATGATGGTATCATATGATTTAAAGTACCAGAATCTTTCAATTGAGCTAACCGCCTCCCGGTTAGCTCAATTGGTTAGAGCGCTGGACTGTTGTACAGGAGGTCGAGGGTTCAAGCCCCGGCCGGACCAACACTCAAGGTCTTAAAATAACTGAGGAGAATGTGCTACCTTTCTATAATATCAAGAAATGGATAGACATTCTAGTCTTCTCGAATAAGGATGAATAAACCATAGGACCCATCTCCTGCATCTTTAATTAGATCGTTTGATTAGGCAGGGGACATTAAAGAACGGACATCACGAGATTACTGTGACGTGGGGGAGGGGTCGCCTTTGTTGATTGTAAACTGCCACCGGCAGTCTGGTAAAGTCCCCCGCACAATATTGTAAAGCGCATTTGATCATATGCAAATGTTAATCTGCATCCTCTAAATGTCAATTCGTGTTAATTCGTGTTAAGTTTTCTTATTGTTGTTATTTCATGCCAGTGTGCTTCCCAAATTCAAGCTATGTGAGACATGAAATGAATAGGTGAATAAATAAATCAGATTGTGCCATGACTTGTAAATTTCGTTTATTCATAATTATTTTTAGTTTAATTCTGTGTGTGCATGTGCGTGTGTGTGTGTGTGTGTGTGTGTCCCAACCTTAATATTGTAATTCATTCTATGTAATTTGGCTTCCTAGCCCGTGTGTGTGTGTGTGTGTCCCAACCTTAATATTGTAATTCATTCTATGTAATTTGGCTTCCTAGCCCTGTTAACCTTCAAGTTATTTTAGGAAGCCAACACCCTCTTAATTTTAAATTCTATTTGATGTTAATTTAACCTTCCCAAGAATAAGGGTTAATAAAGTTGTTGTTGTTGTTGTTGTTGTGGCTACACACTTTGTGTAAGCCACATAATGACAATAATTTATGAAATCCTTTTATAAAATTTAGTAAAGTTTAAAGCAAATCCAAACTGCTGAGATCTTAATTTCAATGTGTTTTGTCCAACTTAAATTGTACTTAATTAAGAGAGGTGTGATTGACAGAGGTTGAACTGTTTTTGTGATGCTATTCCATAACTTGTGACAAACATAAGTTAAGCTTCCTCTGCCTCTAGAAACCTTCATACAATTATTTATAATTTTACCATGCAGATGAAACATCCAAAAAAGCCTGTATGGCGTACATCATGGAGTGCAAATTGAAGAGGATTTGTGAGGTGAATAAAAGATACTGTTAATTCATACCTTAAATCATCTACAACTACACAAAAAGGTATCTTCTATTCTGACTAAATGTTTAAGTGCAACTTCCTTTCATCTCCAAACACTCAATGGCTATGCTCCCTTGAAAAATGTTGAGTCTTAAGTATTACAATTTACTACTTTTAGAAATTAGTTGTTTTTTTTTTTTTTTGTTTTTTTTTAATATGAACTTTATTCAACACATATCGGTTAGAAATGATACTACTTACAAAAAATACTATAAATAGAAACGCACTTAAGATACACTATTTACAAAAGGAATGGTTACTTACATTTACACTACCAACGGGAGAATCTCCACTACTTACATGATATTTGCTTAATACACATACACCCCCAAAAAAAGAAATAACTAATTGTACTTATGACCATAAATTTGTTTTCTGTACTTACAATTACTTGACTTAATTCCTTACTAAAACAAGATTGATTAGTTACATTTACTTATGAAACATTGTTATATAGGATATTATTTACTCTGTTCAAACTATTTAATTAATATGCTATTTACACTATTGGTTTAAGGCTAGAGAAGCATTCACTAGCAATACTGTACAAATTATAGTAAATTTTCAACATGAAGTTTAAGGCTGGAGTAATTTCTTAATAAATCATTAAAGTCACACCTTTTCGAACTTAGTTTTTGGCAATATAAGAAGTATTTGGCAAAGAGTAAGCAATGGTTGAATTTAGGTAGTTTTTGTAATTTCCATTATGCAACATTCCAAAAAGTTTCTTGGCAAATGTTGGTGAATATTTCAAATTGTTTGGAGGAAAATAACTTTATCAAAGAAGGACTTAGCCTCTTCACACTCAACAAAGGAATGCAAAATGGAGTCGGATTCATTGCAATAAAGACATTTACACTCTGTTTCAAATGCAAAGCCATATAGCTCTTTCCTGGTGACTATTATTCTATGGAGTAATTTGTAATTAAATTCTCTAAGTTTATTTTCTTTGCATGTTTTGCTTATCTTAGTGAAAGCTAGGTTCCAATTAAAAAATTTTCCAGGTTAAGATCTTTTTGCCATTTCTTTTGACCGGTGGGTTTGATTTTGGTTGCATTAACATACAGCCAGTAGTAATCTTTGCCATTCATTTTTGTTAAATCTATGACAATGGAGTCAGAGAGTTTGTAGGGAGTGCTACCTAAGAAATTATTCATTTCAATGGGAGGTATGGTTCTCCCCTTCTCAAGTAGATATTTTGGTATCGCTGAAAGAACTTGAAGATGATTTAAAAAATTACATTTGATATTATATCTTTGTTGAAATGTTTGAAATGATAAGAATTTTCCATTGCAATCGAGAAGATCCTGAATTGATAAGACCGCCTTTTCTGACCAATTTGAGTAGAATATTGAATTTCCATTGATCTTAATGTCCTTGTTGTTAAACAAAAGCAGGTCTGACTAGTAGTTAGGTCTATGTAGGGTCTATAGTTCAAGAAAGTTCATCAGGATTTGCCTGTAAAAAAGTGGAAGGCTGGATTTTGCTAAAAGCTTATTGTCATAATTACAGTGAAGGAGAAAGTTGAGACCACCAAACTTTTCAAATAACTGATTCCGGATTGATTTCCAAGTCTCAGGCGAGTATTGATTGACTGTCAAAAGTCTAGATATCCAAGCTAAATTTAAAGACTTAAACAGAATTTTGATGTTTGGAGCACGTAAACCACCTTTGGAATAATCTTGGTACACAACATCCATTTTTATTTTGTCTTGTTTGTTATTCCAGATAAAATTAAAGATAGCACTCTTAATTGAGGGAATGTAGGTATTAGGAATTGTGAGCATCGAGGCCGTGTACATCAGATGAGAAATACCCAAACATTTCACAATGAGGCATCTACCGAGCAAGGACAGGCCACGGACCCTTCGATGTCCAATTTTGTTTTCATGTTTTCCTTATTGTTTTTTTTTTCTCATTAATAAGATATAAAAGTTCCTGGGGCTCTTACTGGATCAGTTGTCCACTTAAGTCCAAAAGGCTTGGAGTTGTTAAATCTCCAGGGACCTAACCATATAGCTTTTGTCTTTTCCACCTTTAGTGAAAGACGCAACATACTTCCGAATTGATCAACCAGTGTTATCGCGTTTTGTACCAAATTTAAGTTTCTTGGAAATAGCATTGTGTCATATCTGCAAATTGACTGACTTAATGGTCACACAAGGTCACAAAATTTACTACTTTTAGAAATATTAGTTAAATTACCTTGGAAGAGTAGACAAATGCCAGAATCCCAATTGTTAATTCCAGAATGAAAATCAAGATCACCATCACTAAAAACTGTAAAAAATGAAGACAATGGTAAGTTATTTAATATGAATAATTATTGATCAAAATCTTTGGGTGGTCTAAGCAAAAACAACAAAACTTTTTGTACAGAATTACAAGGGGAACATCCCGTATAATATCAACAAGAATTATACAGTACAGTCGAACCTCGATTATCCAGACTCGTCGGGACCTCGGTAAATAGCCCAGATAATAGAGAGTCCGGATAATCGAAAATATGAATATTTATGAGGTAGAAATGTAAACAAAAGTATACAGCAAAGAAAACATCATTTTAATTGTGAAATCTACACAGTCTGTATGTATTTACACTGAATAAAAACTTTCAGTTCAAGTATTTACAAAGGTCTAAAATGTTCAACCACGTTTGTTTGCTTCAAAGAGTTGTAGCTTGATCGCATTGCGAAGTCCATCATTCGTCTTAGCTGCATTAACTGCACAGGGTCAATATCGTTCTGTGATTCCATCCACGTCGAGTATTTTTTGAAACATTGCGATGCCTCTTTAGTCGATATTAGTTTCTCGTCCTTGCCCTAGTCTTCCTCATCGCTACAAACACTTTCGCTTTCCGTCGAATCTCCGACAACAGTGGCTAAAATCTCTTCATCAGACATTTACAGTGAATTCAGGAGCTCGTTTTCCAGCTGATTAAGCTAGTCTTTCGCATCACAAGCATTAGGCATTTCTTCACTGTCAAGTTGTTGTACATGTTCCAACATTTCAACCATGGACTCAGCAATATTATCCTCTCTGAATTCGGGCTGTGAATTTGACTTGATTTTGTCCAAATTTTGAAAAGCACACAAGATAATATGCTGTTTCAACAGTCTTTTGAAAGGATTATCGGGCTTTTTGCGACTTTGAGTTTTCACGATCACAACTAATTAATATTCATGAGAAAATTGGGACCAGAGAAAAAAGTCCAGATAAACAAATAGTCCGGATAACCGAGGTCCGGATAATCGAGGTTCGACTGTAATGAATCTCCATTCCATACTTTTAATGGTTAAATTTCCTTTGACCGCCACAAGGTCCCAGCATAGGCAGACACTTGCTAGAAAATTCCACCTAGTTCTTATAAATCTCCTAACAATTGCATGATTATCAACATACTAGAAAAACATTTCATTTCTATCTAAAACTTTACAAGCACCCCCAGTTAACCTTTAAGTTGCATAACCCTTAATTTTATGACACAAAAGTAAAGTAATAGAAACTCACTGAAATTAAGAAAAACCGATTTTCCTTGGCTGCTCCTAAACATCCCACAATTCCTACAATAATGACCACAACTCCAGCTGCAATCATAAGACCAGGGACAATGACATATATATCAGTATCCAGCAAGCTCTGATAATCACTTTTGTACACCATGATCCATATTCCAACTCCCATAATACCAAGTCCTGCAAGCTGACAACAAATAGAGAATTATGGATTAAAATTAATCTGTGACAGGAGAGTAAACTTCACCAAAACAGAGCATCCATTATGATGTCCCCTTTGGTGAGTAACTTTTGAGTATACTCAAAATCAATAAAGGATGCAGCTTAAGGGAGTTCTTGTGTGCCACAAGGTGCTTCTAGTTTATTATAGCGATAACAGTTAGAAGGCGAGGAGACCCAAGAAGCCACCAGGCTTATGGGAGAGCCACCTCACTTACAATAATAAATTAAGTAAAGAAAAAGTGCTGCGAATGTGCGGCTTGGCCAATTCAGTGATTATTTAAGTAAAAACTCTTGCAATTTCGTCTTAAAGCTGAGAAAGTTTGACGAACGAGTGACTGAAATAGGGAGAGAGTTCCAAATTTTAGGACCTTGGTAGAGAATTGTAAACTGCTTGATATTTGTACGGCACAAAATAATTGATGCGTTCGATAATAACTGGCTGTTCTGGGACCATAGTTGTGAATTTGGCTATTCCTTAAAAAAAGATCGAGAGGCAATGGGGGCAATAAGTTATTTTTTAAATAAAACATAAATTTAGCGATTTCAAACGTATTGACTTGGAAAATATCTAAAATTCCTAGTTTGGAGAATAAAGGGAATAAAAAAAAAGCTACGGTTGAAAAACCACAACATGCTTTGGAAGGAACTTCATTAAGTCACGGAAAGGAAATAAAAGGCAGCTGTTGTACAGGCGATGAATAAACACATCATCTTAAGGGTAAAACCTAAGCTTATTTTGCGACGAACTTCGTTGTCTGGAGGACTAGCTCAGGCAAAAAGATAAGGGGAATTAACTATGTTCTACATGAATGATTACTCGTATTTAAAAATACCACATTAGCAAGACATCTACAAGAAAAACCAAATACGATTATGCTAAGCTGATCTTACTCGAGAGGTTGGGCTGCTGGTTGGCTGATCACAATCACTTACCCAAAATAGGAAACTGAACACGAAAAACAACGTCTTCATGCACACGATGTTACAAACTCCTTCATTTCTCGCCTTCATCATTAAACAGCGCGATAAAATGAGAACAGACAAAACCACAAGCAAGCACAGCCGCAGGAAATCAGTAAATCTCAAGAATTTTGATTTTACTATTGATTAATGCTGAAGTTCATAAACATCAGAAGTAGGCGTGAGGGCCGCCATGTCATACAACAGCCAATCAAACAACACATCCTATTCACGTGACAGCCATGGAACTCATGGCTTTCGGAAAAGAAGGAGCGCTGGACAAGGGTGAAATTTTAAACAGGGAATTGTAACAAACTACTGTCAAAATCTCACAACCATGACATAATAAATCAGGAGGCCTGAATAAATATGTCCCGATTTCGTTGTGTCATGACCATTATCAGTAGAGGTCAGAACATGCGAACGAATCACAAAAACACAAGGTAGATAAGAGTTCTCTCCCACCTCGCCTCGCTTATTTGTTCTTTCGACACAACAACATATGAGAAACCTCTCAGTTTAGTGTTTAAGGTTCTTTTAACTTCACTTTACACGATTGTAACGAGCACTATGACAACGGACAACTACATTTGATCAAGCAGAAACTAAAGAGCTCATTTAATGCCAAGATCATCAACCTATCTACACAGTTTTAATTATTCTATCACATATGTGATAGGGGTATTTGATAATGCACGATAATATGAACGATCATTCGTCACACCTTTCCTCTTACAAAAAAGAAACTAAAAGTGTCACACACCAAAAAAAAATAAAACACAGAACGTCAACACGTAATCGCTGAATCGCTGGACGGCTGGGGGTCTCGTCACGTAATCGCTGGACGGCTGGGGCTCTCGTCACGTCAACACGTAATCCCGAAATCTTGTCGGGGGTTTCCGTTCTCTCTGTGATCTTTGAAGGCCTATTGGGGGCACTTCCAGCTGGAAGGACGGCGGCTCAGCAGACGGCACTTCGGAGGTTGGAGACGATGGAACGTGCACTGTCCTGTGTCTAGGTGATACTGTTCGAGAACTACTGGGCAGTGGTATTTCCTTTGAAACAACGGTCTGGCTCTGAGCAGGAGTCTCGTCAGTTTTAATAATAGGGAGTTTAAGCAAATCACTACGGCTGGCGCTGCTACGGCTACCGAAAGTAAAATTGTCCAGAAACGAGTCATTGCGCATGTCAGTGGTCCCTATCCAGCCGTAGCGGGAAATTCCTCAACGCGAGTGGGAAGGTTTCGGCGTAGTCTGTGGTACGTGAACTTATCTCGCTTCTTTCTTCGCTTTATACATTCTCCTGAGCAATTTTAACTATTGAAATACACTTAACATCTTTAAAAATAGCTTATCGGGAATATTTATCAAGCTTGCTGTCCCTTACCGAGTGAATCTGCCTTTATTTTTGCNAAATTCAAATAGCTGAAGCCGAGGAATGACGAGGGTTATGAGGGACCGTGTAGAAACTTTGCTTTGGTGTTTATAAGCTCCAAACTGGCAATTTTACAACACGTAAGCTTAAATATTTTAATTCACTCATTCATTGTGCACAGGATCGCTTACAATTTTTTTTTTCCAAACCTTAGAATCCCTCGTCCCTTTGAACGAAGTCATTTTGAGTTTTTAGACGTGCAAAAACTACCGCGAAGACGCTTAATTTATTGGTTTTAAACTTCTCAGCCGTACTAGGTTTGTAGTTTGCGTTGCTTAAAGTTGAATTTTGGCGGGCTACGGCGACGTACCCTCCCCAAGCCTCGTCAACCACGATAGCCGTAGCAGCGCCAGCTGTAGTGATTTGCTTAAACTCCCTAATGTCACGCCGGTTTCTCCGAAAAACTGCACCTCCAGCCTTAATAAGGAAACTACGAGGACCCGCCGAATCCAGACAGGTACCCGGTGTCCAGACCTTTTGCCCAGGCAGTCTCATTCGCACGATTTCACCAGGGCTAAGGTTAGGAAGTGGCTTTGCGTATCGATCATAGTATTCCTTCTGACGACGCTTCTTGTCTGACATAACACGCACATCGTCACGCAATGATTAACAGGGCCTCAGAAGAGACTCGGACGTGGGCAACAACGTACGACAGAGACGAACCATTAACCGCTGCGCAGGGATGGTAGCCATTCCCTCTGTTGGGGTGTTACGCCAATCCAACAAAGCTTGGAATTCAGGGACACCCGATTGTTTGCATTTCTTGAAAAGACGTTTCACAGTCTTCACAGCATTTTCGGCTTTGCCATTCGATCGAGGATATCTCGGCGAGGTGGTGATGTGATTGAAATACCAGCTCTCCGCGAATGCTTTGAACTCTTTGGACGAAAACTGTGGACCATTGTCAGTAAGAATAATCTCCGGTATGCCAAAACGTGCAAAAATGGCCTTCAACTCACGAACTACGGCTAGTGTTGTGATAGCATACAAACGGGAAACCTCGATGAAATTGCTGAAATAATCAGACACAACTAAAAGGGTACGTCCATTAGACTCACACAGATCAGCAGCCACTTTAGCCCTGGGTCGGTAAATTACTTCATGTTGAAGGAGTGGTTCCTTAGTCTGAGACGTACGATAAGCCAGACACACGTCACATTTTGAAACATAATCTTTGACATCTGAAGCAATTCGCGGCCAGAATAGGCACTCCCTAACTCTTCTCAAACACCCTTCTGTTCCTATGTGTGTAGAGTGTGCAACAGACATCAATTCCTTGCGCATACAAGTAGGTACAACCAGACGAGGACCCTTGACGACCAGTACATCCACAGGTCGCCCAAGCTCTGTCACAGGCTCTTTCACAGTGAATAATTAAAGAGTTTGTAAAGTGGTTAAGTTGGACTTGCTTTTGAGCTCCGTAAATGTAAAGTTGTGTGAAATAATCAAAGAAATCAAGTCTTACCTTCATAGAGAGTAGTCTTTGTTGTTCTCCTCGCGATTTGAGGCCGTTTTGATGTGTTTGGGCTTGACGCCCTAAATTACCGTGCATAAAATACGGTAAGGTCGGAAACTTCTGTTGACACATGCTCGCCAAAATCACTCGAAAACAACACTTAAATACTTTCCCTCGAATCAACACTTGGCAGCACGAAAGCCAAATAGTTGCCCTTTAACTTCACCGAAAAAAATCCCACAAAAGATGGTTTGTCGAGCAACCAATCCAGCGAGAATTTCAAATTAGCGGCCGTTCTGAATTCTTCTAATTCGTGGAAGGAACATCTTGTGCAGCTGAGAGACCGTTAATGCGCGGTTGAGAGAGATTTGACTAGGGTCCAGGTCGACCGCGCATTAACAGTCTCTCCACTGCACAAGATGTTCCTTCTCACAGACAAGTTTGCTCTATGGTCGACTTCTTCCAACTCTCGCACAAAAACAGAGGCATTAACGTCAGGCAAATGGGCTCGGCTCAACGTAACAGCAATCAGCATCGTCTCTCCTTTTAGGTAAGTTACATCCAAAACGTACTTCTGCAACCTCAAAAGCATTCTCTGAAGACGCTTTGGCGCTACACACAGTTCTTCTTGGAAGATAGACTCCAGAGGCTTGTGGTCTGTTTGTACACGAACAGAATCACGGCCATAAATGTAAGCATCAAATTTCTCACAGGCAAAGACGATCGCCAAAAGTTCTCTCTCAATCTGTGCGTAGTTTTCTTCAGTAGGGGTCAAGGCTCGTGAAGCATACGCCACAGGCTGTTCGCTTTGAAGTAACACAGCACCACGACCATGTTGAGACGCATCACATTGGATCGTAACCTTCTGTTGTAGATAGTATTAACGGAGTATCGGTGACACCGACACAACATCTTCGAGTTGCTCAAATGCTCTCTCTTGGGGCTCGTCCCAGTGTCACTCCACGTCTTGGCGGGTGAGGTCTCTGAGAGGCTTGGTAATATCTGACAATCGGGGCAGAAATTTGCTAAGGTACTGAACCATTCCCAGGATACGCTGTACACCTGCAACATTGTCCGGTCGGGGCATTTCACGTATGGCTCGAACTTTCGCTGGATCTGCTCGAAGACCTTCACTGCCACATGCCCGATAAACGGAACTTCTCTCATCCTGAGCTTCAACTTGTCGCTGTTTAAATGAATTCCACGCTCTTCACATCTCTGAAGGAACGCTAAAAGACTCTTGTCGTGATCTTTAGATGCTGCTTCCAATGAATCACCATAACCAACAACAACAAAGTCATCTACTATGACTTCAACTTCATTCAGTCCTTCAATCAATTCGTGCATCTTGCGTTGAAAAATTTCAGACGCAGATTTAATTCCAAAGCGCATCCTTTTCCAACGATACCGACCAAACGGCGTATTAAAGGTAGTTAGGAACGATGACTGCTCGTCAAGAGCAACATGCCAGAATCCACAGGCAACATCAAGGACAGTAAACACTTTGGCTCTATGTAGCCTAGAAGCAACCTCTTCGATGGTAGGCAAGGGATAATTCTCTCGTTGCAGAGCCCGATTGAGATCCTTAGGGTCCAAGCGAATGCGTAAGGCATCATTTGGCTTCGGTACGACAACCATTGAACTAATCCAAGTTGTGGGCGTTGTCACACGAGCTACAATTTCTCGCTTCTCCAAATCTCCTAAAGTCTCTTGTAGACGTTCTCGGATGGCAACCGGTACTCGACGAGGAGAGCGTTGAACCGGCTTCACCGTTTCATCTACTCCATGTGATATTCTCCAGGAAGTTTACCAACTCCATCAATGAAAACGCGAGGGAATTTTTTGACCAACAGATCAGCGGACAAAACAGGCTCGGTTGGCACATCATGGGCATATACGTCACCTTCAGAGATCTGGAGCCGTTTCAACTGATCATTGTCTGAGTACAATGAAATATATGAAGTTCATATATTTTGAACTGCGGTATTAGATACGTATGATGCACGATCCTCGCAGTAGATAGCGTTATTTAAGCAATAGCGAAAATCAGACCTGAAAAAAAATCAGGCCTGTACGTTTATTACGAATCAACTTAACGGCCTGCTCCCAGTTGGCTTGTTAGCTCAATTGGTAGAGCGCTGCACTAGTATCGCAGAGGTCAGTGGTTCGAATCCCGTACAGGCCTGATTTTTTTCAGGTCTGATTTTCGCTATTGCTTAAATAGCGCTATCTACTGCGAGGATCGTGCATCATACGTATTGTCTAAGTACTTGATGATTTTCATTCCAAAACGAGCTTTCCTTCCAAGTATAGGCCTGACCCTTTTTGCTGTCCATCAGATTACAGTCAAGAAAACATCTGAAATCTCCACGCCAAACTCTCAAACAAACTCTACCAAGGATAGGAATCCATGTCCCACCATACGAAATAATCGCCGTGCTTACTGGGGTCACGTTAATCAAATTAAAGTCTCTTGTCGCTTTCTTATACAAATGCAAAGGGACTACGTTACATTGTGCTCCAGTGTCCGGCTGAAAGCGAAGATAATTTCCTGACTCCAATTTTAATGTTAAAAGCTGCGGATCATCAAGAGTCACCGCTGAAATCTCTTCCACGCCAAAAACTTCGTCTAAAGATCCATTCTCTGAAAATCCATCTTCCAAATAATGGACACGATTGCTTCGCTGCGAGGGTTTGGGCACCGATCCAAAACACACCTTCGAGAAATGGTTTTGCTTGTTACACTTATCACACTTTTTTCCAAATGCTGGACAGTTTTCACGCTTTGACACATCATGCATACGCCCGCAATAAACACATTCTTTCACTCGGGAGTCAGCACCTCTAGGGAATCGACCACACCTCTTTTTCCCTCCTTTCGACTTTTTAGAAAAGGCATTTACGCCACCCAGGGCCCAGTTGTTCGAAGGCTGATTAGTGCTTACCCAGGTTTCTATATTTCTCTGTTCAAAAGTGGTTTCGGGATGATTTTTCCCATTTTATTAGAGCATCAATTATCAAATTGTAGACAAATGGAATTAAACTGAAGTTTTTTTTTTTTTAAAGCTTTCAGATCTGAAATCAAATTTCACACAAATCCTTGGTTATTTTTACCCACCTTTGAACAACCCGGCCCAGATCTGTATCCCCAGTGCTGGTACCTCCAACAACTTTCATTTGTTCCATCGTTGTCTCGTACGCCCGACAAATTTCATCAGTTTTCTCCAGTGACAAATCCTTTTCGCGAAGCAATCTTTCACGTACCCTTGAATCCTGAATTCCGAAAACGAGCTTGTCTCGTAAAATTTGATCTGCCGTAATGGATTCAAATTCGCATCGATCAGCTAATTGTCGCACGACTGTCCGATAATGGTCGTACGTTTCTCCTGCTTCTTGCATTCTAGAGTAAAACCTTATCTTTCTAAAAGAACATTCTTCAACGGCTGGCAATAAGCAGCAAAATTCTCTAACACCGGCTGTATTCTGTCACTGTTACCTTCGTCAAACGTAAACGTCGAGAAAACTTTCCTAGCTTCGGCTCCGATCACCGTCAGTAACGTCGCTATTTGTACGGTCTCGGGTTCTTGGTGCAATTTCATAGCTACCGAATAATTTCTCCATGCCTGCTCAAATTACTTCCACTTTTCTGCCGCGTTTGAATCATGGATATCAAGCGGTGTTGGCGGTGGCAAAGTAAATAAGACTCCACTTCTCGCGCTCGAAATATCCGAAGACGAACTTGAAGAGTGCTCAGCTTCTCCTCCTCCCGGCATTTCAGTAAAAAATACTTTACGTAGGTTGGGTATCCTGACACCATGTAACCAGCGATATCACAACGGACAACTACATTGGATCAAGTAGAAACCAAAGAACTGAATTTAATGCCAAGATCATCAACCTATATACACAGTCATAATTATTCAGGGATCGGTCAGAAAAGCCAAGTGTCAGTGAAAACTTCTTTGTGTGGCCTCTTTTCCAGGCCATGCGTCGCACATGTGACCATTCCGGGGGCCAGAAAAATTTCTGCTGATTCAGTGCGAGCTAGTGCGCCTGCAGGAGTCATAAACAAGAACTTTCAATATGGCCTAAGCTGAACCGAATTTGTAAAGGTTGATAGTTTCTAAAGAAACTGTTTGGGGCTGCGTCGGTGGGGGTAACGAAATAATTTGAATATATCAGCTAAGTTGAAATGGTAAATTGGCCACCGTTACGGTTCTAAAAGCTGACGTTTCGAGCGTTAGCCCTTCGTCGGAGCGAATAGGGGAATTGTGGGTTGTGTGTGCTTCTAAAGGCAGAAAGTGGAGCTACGTGATTGGTGGGAACATGGCAATGAGAAAAACACGAATAAATTAGTGGAATGAAAAGCGTTCGTTGATACCTGTGGGATTTAGACTGCCCAACGAACGCTTTTCATTCCAGTAAATGCAGTAAACGGCTTGAACCCGGGGGTAACATGTGAGGGTGTAGTCTGATCGTCCGGGTGAGTGTAGTCTTGAGAAGGACTGTTGTCGGTGGTAGTGACTGACGTTTCGACAACCTGTGCGGAAGTCATCATCAGAGTCAAGTGAATGATTGTTGTCAGTAGAATGTTCTTATTCCAGTTCGTGTAAAATGATCGGTTTGCTTTACCGTGATGTTATTGCTTTTCATTCCACTAATTTATTCGTTTTTTTCTCGTTACCATGTTCCCACCAAACACGTAGCTCCGCTTTCTGCCTTTAAAAGCACACACAACCCACAATTCCCTATTCGCTCCGACGAAGGGCTAACGCTCGAAACGTCAGCTTTTATAACCTGAATCGAATTTGGCCAATGAAGAATGTAAGGATGACTT